ACAAATATCACGTGGATAAATATGTCATTTTCTCTTTTACCCATAGGAAATATCATTTTTTCTATACCGGTTTCTATTTTATCCAAAAAAAAAAACCAAAATAAAGTGACGTCATATGGGGCCTGAATATTTTAATGTCATCTACAGCCAGTACATAACCCTTGTCATGGCTCATCCCTCAACGTCTCTTCGGTTCGATGGGAGGGCGAGAAGTGATGATTCCAAATGAGTTGGATTATAAAAAGAATGAAAAAGTGAGATTAAAAGGTTTTAATTAATTTTTTTTACTCCTTTTACACAAAAGCCCATTGGAAAATTTCAATTTCAAAAAACTAGAGTCTGAAAGAGTAAATTCCTCATATCTTTATGAACAAGGCATGCGGAGTTTTTTAACGTGAGACTCGTAATATTATTTTTTGTTTCCAGCACCTCTGTTGCAAAGAAAGTCATGGAAGAAAAGTAACTAGTATTTGATCAAATTATATGATAAATCATTGAAGGAAACATATTTAGTTATGATAAAGATAAATATTGGAAAGCATTCTACACAAAAAGTTACTCGTTATGAAATATCAACGCGGCAAGTAAATAAATCGAAGGATTTCCAGACTGAATTAAAGCTTGGAGAATCTGTAGAACAAAATGAGTTTGAATTAGTTCTTACAACTGTGATAATTGATCCAAAGCTTGACTCTCTTCATCTGGTAGGGTATGGGAGTGGTGGTTTTCATTGTGTGCAATGGTGCCGGACTGCTTACGACAACTAGACAATGAGAGTGTTGGTGTTTAGAGGTATGGAGATGGAAGTGGGTGGTGGTACGATGGATCTAATGTCACAGCTAAGTGGGTTTGGAATTTGCAAGATGCTTTGTTCATCACGAAATCAGACAAGAATTCTTTTCTTTTCAAATTTAGAGATCGTGATGAGTATCAAAGGATATTGAGAGGTCGACTGTGGTCGATTCTTGGACATTTGTTGTGTATTCAGGAGAGGAGGCAATATAAGGTGCTGGAGGAGATGGAATATTTGGTTTGTTCATTATGGATCCAGGTTCATGGTGTTCCATTCGAGGCGATGAATGCTCTTGCTATTACTAGGAAGACTGGGGATTGTGGTTTTGGTGGAACATCCTAAACGGAATGGTAAAATGTTGCGCAATTTTTTGCATATTAGAGTACTTGTGAATATGATGTCATTACTGAAGCTTATACGCTGGTTCATCGTGACTGGGAGATTCGGATGAGGCATGTTTCAAGAATGATTAATGGAGCTGCTGATTGGCTAGCAAAACGTGGGTTAGAAGTGTTGTTTGGCTTCTACCAAGTGCTACAGATCCCTAAAGACCTTGCTCACATTCTGGTTAAGGATTGGAATAATACCTCTAGCTGTATTGGCTAGGTGGTTTTTTGGATTCGTTTGGCTATAAAAAAAAAAAAAGTTGAAGTGTTTTTACATTGGTTAGTAAATAACCGACGTACAAAATAGTATCCATGTCGGTTGCACTACATAACAAACGTGATAAATAAATTTTTTAAACAAAAAAATCTGCACCTTACCACGTCGTAAGTTCACATTTTTTATTTATTTATTTTAGTTTTAACTTACCAATGTGGTAAGTTAAAACTAAAATAAAAAATCATGAACTTACTGCATTGGTTACGTAGAAAAACCGACGTGGTAATGTGAAACAACGTCGGTTTCTCATTCCTATTTTATAAAATCGAATCATCGTTCAATTTCACCATTTCATTTTTGACGTTTGGGTTTCCTCCTTGGCTTTTCTCTCTCACCGTAAAGCCTCCTCCTTTAGCCATTGTTGTCGTCCATGAGTTAAAGTACAGTGAAGCCATCTCTCAGGAAGTCCATCGCCAATGCTATGAAGCTGTTTGAGCCGCCGTCGCCGTTGTGGGTATTTCTTCCTCCTTTGATCTCTTGTTTTTCAATTTTTAGACTTCACTTGCGTGATTCCTTGTTCCCTTTTCTTCTATTGGGATTAAAACTTCTTAGGATTCATCTTTCAATAGCTGATTTCATCTTCCTCCTCTTTCATTGCAGTGTGTTGAACGTTGGAGTGGGTTTTTTTTTTAGTTGCATTTTCTTCTCTAATTCCTAATAAGTCTCTCTTTCATCCTTTTCTATTTATATTTATTTATGAAAATTATAACTGTTGGGTTTATGTCTGCAAGAATGAATTTTTGTTGTTTTTATTCATTATTTGTTTACTAAAACTATTTTTTATAAATTTTTTACTTATTTTATTTTTCTATAATAAATAATATATTTAGGGAAATTAAATTTACTGTGATGAATTTTGTTTGAGAATTATTGTGTTTCAAATTGTGTTGTTAGATATGATTTTGTAATTGCTGATTTTTTTTTCTTTGATAATGTTTATAGACTTGAATTTTATTGTTGTTGAGATTTGGGTTAATTTGACTTGAATTTGATTGTTATTAAAATTTTGGAAGGTCATATTTTAAGAGAAAACTCAGCCAAAATTTTTTCTAATAATTACAAATTTTTTTAATTATTTTTATTTCACTATCATATGACCTATGTTAGTTTTGGGGAATTAAATTTATTGTGATGAATTTTCTTTATACTTGATAAATGTATAATTATGATAGTAAGGTTTGAGAATTGTTATGTTTCTATTGTTGCTAGATAGAATTTGGTAATTATTAAAATTTTGGGATGTCTTATTTTAATGAAAAAAATCTACCAATTTAATTTTGCTAATGCTTATAGGTTTGAACTTCATCGTTGTTGAGATTTAAGTTGAATTTAATTTTTGTTAAAATTTTGAGAGATTTTATTTTAAAGGAAAACACTGTTAAAATTTTTTCTAATATTTACAAAGTTTATATTTTGATAGTCAAATGATGAATCATAGTTAAATGAATTCTTGGACAATAAGTGAAGAATATGAGAATAGAATAAAATATTTTCTTGCATTTGTTAAAAGAAATGTTCCAAATAAAAATGGACTATATTTGTGTCCATGTATGAAATATTTAAATGAGAGTTGATTGAGTATTAATAAAATAAAAGAATATTTATTTTGTGATGGAACAAATTTGATGTTTAAGGAATTGATATGGCATGATAAAACTAAATGATTGAGTTTTATATTCTAAGCAAAAGAAGTAGGCGAGAATGTCTGGGATAGTATAAAAAATATGATTCATAATATTGAAGTGAAATTCTTTACACAAACATATGCATATGAGAGCACATACACATGCTGTATAAACTATAAAATTTACTTGTTAAAAGTTCTTGATATTAAGAAAAACAAAAAGAATTTAAAAAAATTAAACTTTTTACAATGTAGAATACCGATGTTGAAAAGCTTTTAACATCAGTTTTCTAGAAGAAAAAAAAAATCAACTTGGCACAATGGTTCCACATCAATTATCTACAATAACCGATGTCCCTTTTTTTTACTATGCCCTGACAACTGATGTAAAAAATTTAAAATAATCATTATTAAAAATCAATCATGTAATAGTGTTTCTTAGCTTTGGCTATCAATGTTTGTACTTTTTTTTTAATTAATAAAAAATTTAGTTCTTACAAAACATATTTATGCCGACTGAAAATCATCAAATAAATGTTCTTGTTACGCGTGAGCTTTAACGTTATATCATCTAGCTAATAAGAGCTTCTTTTGTGCCTTTTCTTGTACCACTTCTCATTTGGAAAAATTTCACTCTACTTGGAAGTTTTGGGCGGGCTTTAACCCTATCTCTCGTGTGAATTTTAATTTTTGCATACAGATCACTTACCCCTTTAGTCCACGATACAAGTCATAATCTCATAACTTCGATTTATCCAAGATATAAATCTAGTTTGATAACACCTACAACAGTTAATAATATTTTTTCTCTTTTGCCCTTCTACAAATTAAATTTTATAAGTAATTAATATCCCGTTGACTTTTGGATAAATTTAGATTTGAAAAGTACTGCTTTTTTTTCATTTTTAATGATGTAACTTCTATCAACTATTTTTGTGTGTTTGTGTAAGGTTTTTTTTTTTTTTTTGGTGCTGTAGTTAAACTAAACCTGTATGGTGAATTTGAAGGAGTATTCGCTTTCCTTATGCGATAAATAGAACTTATTCCTCAAATTGTGTCATGCACAAAAGAAAAAACATTTATAATCAACATCTGTAACTGATTATGAGCACATCAATTAATAATAAAATTTTAACAAACGAACATGTTTTAAAAGTCATTATCACCGGTACAACGAAAGAAATATTGATTCTAATTCAACCAATATATTTAATTCCTCATTGTAAATCTAAAAGGTTGAAACTTCTTTATACGGGTAAGATAAGCCTCAATTTTTATACCAATTGGATAAGTACTACAAACAATCTAATAATTTACTCAAGACCTAAGGAGCCACATAGAATCGTCAATCATGATTAACTATGCGGGTGCAATCCTCCATGAATACACCATATTGTTTTTTTTTTTTTTTGGTAGGAATACACCATATTGTTGGTTCACAAATTAAATCATTCTACATCTAGTACTTCAATAGATAATTTGAGGCCCAAACAAGTGGGCGAAAAAACTCTACTACCCAAGCTCGTCGTCCCCTTCTCCCTCGTTAAGATACAGTGAAAGCAGCGATTTGTTCACAGGTTTACAAACTTGAGAAGAAACTGATGCTAATCGCTGCTTTAATTTTCTTGATCTAACAAAATTCTGTATCAAAGTTTAAATTACTTATCAAACTACGCTCCAGCTGCAAACGAATCAATATTCTGTGTTAAACCAAGACAGTGAGATCTGGAATTTTGGATATCTTCTAGCGGAAATGTCAATACATGTAATACTTCATTATTTATATGAAGGTAATCAAGAAGAAAAGCTTTGAAACATTGAAGAATCACCACAAGTTCATTATTATGTACACTTAAAAGCTTAGCTAGTAGCTCCCTCGATTGACTGATAGCTTAATAATCTCTGGTACAAGAGCTCCACTTAGCAAATAGTTTCTCCCACGTACGTGCTTCCAATCAATCACAACAAAATTACACACTAGATTCTGGTTTGACAAAACGATTAACACAAGTACAGCAACGACGACACATCCTTCTTGTAACATCAATATCCAACAACATTTGAATTACTTATTGCTACACGATCGAAGCTCCTAAGTCTAATGAAAATGCCAGCTGCAGAAATATTCGTTGCAAATGCAATATATAAAACTAGCAACGCTTACACTATCACACTGCACAGTCAACTTAAATGCGTTGGTCTCCCTGAACTTGTAGCTCTTTCTTGTTCAGGTAAGGACCGTGCTTGCATTCAACATATATAATGTAATAACTTGGTGGGATCATACACATATCATGGGCCCAGGCGGTAGTGACCATCTGGCATGTAGTGGCCATCCATATAGAGAGTCGCGTTCTGTGGATGAAGCCCATCCATCACCATGAATTGCATGTCTTCAGATGGCTTCCAGTGCCTCTTCCTTTGATTTATGAACCAGTTATTTATTTGCTTCTGGTCCAACCCAGTTGATTCAGCCAACGCCACCTTCTCTGATTCCTATTAATACACATTATATTACATATATAAGTGCCATTGATTCATCAAACTAAAAGTTAAGCAGCTAATATGTCTTACATACCGAAGGATAAGGCCATTTGTAATGTAATTCCCACCAGTTGAGCAACTTTTGCCTGGCATCTTTGGGCAGTTTTCCTTTTTTCTTTTTCTTGGACAGTTCTTGCTTGAGGCTGCTCAAGTAACCGCTATACTTCCTCAGCAAGTGGTTCTTAAGTTCACGGTCTTCAGCTCTGGGATCAATGTCCGGCAACTCTGTTTCTCCGCCACTATTGTCTTGATCCTCTTCAGACGAGCCTACCCCTTCACACTTATCATCTGCATAATTGCTCAACATACCAATACATGCATGTCTGTGACTAAGTTACTCATAATTAAATTGAACAGTTAATTAAATTTGGCTACCAATCAGTACAATTTATGTTACACTACAGTTTCATTATTCCCTACCGAATTTCTCCAGATCCCAGCATTAGGAGTTCATATTTATAAAAATATCAAACAGATAAAAATAGAATCAATCCTGAAACTACCACTCAAAAGAGGCTCTTTCCAGTGGAAAGGCAACAATATAACTATTTCCATCCTATTAAGTAATACGCAGGTATTTAATAGAATACTAACGCAAAATCTCTCATCAATGATCCTTTTCCCTTTCACGCTCAAAGACAGAAAAATGATGATGATTACACAAAGGCAGCTTCCCATTGTCAACAGAATTAGTTAATAATAACTAATAGTTTACAGAAATATGATATGATTATTACAGAACAATCAATGATTTATTACTGAAAGACATGCAACAACAGAGAAATCTTTCTCCTCCAAATTCACTTCAAAAAATAACTAGATAAATCGGCATGCAAATTATTTGTTGCCTCGATCCTAATTAAGAAGCACCAGCTATCACGTATAGATAGTCAGGAAAAACAGTAACAGAATACTAATTCGCCCTACAAATTACTTGTCACAATTACCTCGTTTGGGTTCATTATACTATTATTTTATCAGTATCAGCAATATTAAAATTAATATCGATCAAGATGATTCGTGAACTTCGTGTAAAGAGACGAAATCGCAGAAAGTGAGACGGGTTAAATTTATTGCTCAACAGACAAGGCTGAGGGTGATTGGAATAGCATCCAATGTGATTATCAAATATAATTCCAATTAAAATATAGCAGTGAGTACTAATTGTTTTGATATTTAAAAAATATATGCAAGACTTAGAGCGGAGATCGCTGGCCAAGAGGCCAGAACTGACAACTATAATGATGAGTGTGTATGCGCGGTAATGGGAATGTCATCCCACAAAACCCAATAAGTCGGTAAACTACAAACTTCATACGAATAAATAAGTAAAACCAAAATGCAATACCAGAGAAACCCTAGAAAAACGATTTTTGTCAGAACTCACAAATGTATGAGAGAGCTGAATAGGGAAGCATTTCAAATTGTGAATAACGGAATATATCATTCCAAGAAAGGAATTGGGAACAAGTGTCGTATCCTTGGAAAGAAAGGAATAAAAAATAGTCCGATGACAATCGAAGGATACTTGCCGTAGAATATATAAATATATAATGTATAAAGCAAGGAAAATATATATTTTTTAAAAAAAGCACTGATACAAAAGCAGGAGATTGGGTTATGTGCTAAATCACCTTCATCTTTCTCTCTTTCTGGGTCCCTCCCCAGAATATAAATGGCTATCTATAGGTGTAATATTTCGGTCAAAGTTTCTTACCTCAGAAACCAAAAACACTCAAAGTTTCAAGAATCAGAGACAGTCCAAACCGTAAGTTTGCGAACTGTCATGTACAAGGCAGGCCCGATTATGGGTTTAGTTCCGAATCCGGTTGCTTCTTCAGCGGAAAGAAATACAAACTGTAGCGAAAGAGAAAGGAAAAGGTTAAAAGTACCAGAGAAGATACGGATGGATCCATTGCAAAGCATATTGAGTTGAGTTTCAATCCTGCGCATGAAATCCATGGCTTCTTGGATAGGCCTCGTCAATTCCTCTCGATACTTCACAAGCATGTCATAATAAGCTTCCTGGTGATCATTCATACCAATTGAATACAAATTCTCAGCATCAGGTCACATATCGACTTGACAAGAGAACTCGAATCAATCAAGCCACGAGAGAAATCATTAAAATTAAAAGGGGTAAGAGAAACACACCATGAATTGGTCCAGTTCAGGGTCCTTAGAAACCTCCCGAGAAGCAGATGAAGATCGCTGCCGTGCCTCAAACTCCTGGCGAGCAGCAGCCAGACGCGCCACCACTTCCGGTGGAGCTCCCACCTGAAAGTATAAAAATCACTATATAGCTACAGATGTACAAAAAAAAAAAATTATAACGCTAACGGAACCAATCGGAGTTCGTACCGCTATTAGAGTGAAGAATATATCACATCACAGTTTGAATCCGATCGAAACCAAATTCAAAATGAGAAAAAGAAAAGGGTATAGTTACAAGCTAGTGATGAAACGTGGAAATGGAAATTAGGGACCTTTTGGCAATCCATGTAAGCTTGCAAGAGGTTGGAGTACTGAGGATGTGCAATGATTTTAGCCTTGATAGCTTCAACCTCGTTGGAGCTGTCAGCGCCTCCTCCTTGGGGGTGCATCATGTGAAGATTCCCCCTGAGTAGAGGATACTGAAAAATCTGAGCGTGGTGCGAGGTATTGGCTTCGGTTTTGACAGTGGGATGAGGCTGATCGGATTGGTGAAAGCAGTCAGAAGCACCGGACTGAAGATGGAAAGTATTGATAGGCAACTGATGAGCAACGCTGGAACCACCGCTGCTACTTCTTCCGTACCCAATACCACCCGAAGAGTACAAGAAATTAGCCCTTCCGCCATTGTTTTCGCTCAGATTATTATTATATTCCTCCATCCAATATTCTAATACCAGGTTCTCTCACCTAATCAGTCCAACTAAGCAGCAGCTTGGACCACTAAGACAGAAGGGAAGGCCGGGAAAGAAAACCCTACGTTATCTAAACAAGCTAACAACTTAAAACCCTAAAACTAACAAGAGATTGCTAATAGTTTGACCAAGGGATCAGGAGCACAAGTGAGTCTATATATTCATGGCGGAGAGGGGAAGGGGGGGAGACCGTTCGAAAGATGAAGCAAGAGAATGAAGCTTTTTGGCTTTTCGGCTTCAAAGGACGAGTCAGTAATTGCACCGAAACAAGTTTTGGGTTAAGCAAAGAAGAAACAAATGAGGGATCATCTACAGAGAGGAGGAGTGGGACGCAGGGAAGGAATAGGAAAGAAGAGAAAGAGAGAAGTGGGAGGTGGCGCGGTCGTAACCGGCAATGGCTCCGTATTGTGGGTGGTTGACAAGACGTCTTCCTTCGCTGATATAAAAGAAATATTTGATAATTATAAAAGCAAGCTAACCTAGCCCAGGATATTATGCCCCACACTATTCAATATTTATTTTTTTATATCTTTACTCGACTTGTTTATTTTCCATTTTCAGTTTTAATGGACGGATATCGTCCGAAGACGTGCGTTGATTAGGCGACAGGTGCGTATCCTATAATTAGTTAATTACCATTGAGCATGCCCGTTCAATTGAGGAGTAAGTCGGTCCACACTGAATCGTGAAAAATATATCACACAGAAATTATAGAAAAAAAATTTAAAAATTTTAACATGCGACACATTTATAATTAATTGAAGTGCAATTTTTCCTTTTCATCTTAGAACAGATAAAAAAACTTATACAACTTGAAAGCAAAATTCTTATAAGTGACTAAGTATAATTGTAAATCATTTACAATCATATTTTGCTTCAATATTTGAACACGTTTAAATTTTTTATCAACAACTTAATATGTGTAATATATTTTAGATTTGAGGAGAATGGATGTTTTTATCACTTCAATTTAAAATAAATATTGATCCAACCACATTGCAAAATATTTAAAATATTAGGCTATTATCTTTCTTTGGTCTTATTAAATAGGTTATATGTGTGCAAAAATCCTTTAATTGAGTTAATTAATTTGTTTTACTCATTTTTGGTCTGAAAATTGAGGTTAAAATAAATAAAACTTTCATGAATTTCGAGCAATACCATATGACCTCAATTATTTTTTTTAAATGTTTAAAATTAGCTTTTCTAACTTTTAATTTTATTTTTCAAAGCCCTATTATTAATTAAGTCTATTATATTATTAATAAAGTTTGTTATATCAAATCAATAAAATCCACATAGGAGTTTACATGGTATTTTATATAAACAAATAATAATTTGTAAAAAATTTATTATTTTTTAATGTTTATTTTTGTATTAATTTTATCTATGTTGCTTTATACCAATACTGCATAGTTTTTTTATATTAAAGAGTAAAATTTTATTTATATTATTCTAATCAACAACAAATTTTATATATTTTTTATTTATTTAATATAAAAATTTATTTTAATTGATAAAGAATGATAAAATAACAGCCTTTATCGTAAATTGTGTTAACAGTAAATAATAAAAATAAAGATGCTAAACTAAAAACAATGAAAACATTATGTTAAAAGTTACAATCATAATTTTGCCCCTCTTTAAATTATGTTAAAATTAATAAAAATATTTTTTCATACCATGTATCATGTATATTTTATTAATTTAACATGACAAATTTTATTTATAATATAACATAGTTAATTAATAATAATAAAATTTTAAAAATAAAATTAAATGTCATGAAAATTAATTTTAAACTTTTAAAAGTGATAAAAATCATACGCTATTACGTTAAAATTTCAAAAGCTTTATGCATTTTGGCTGAAAATTAATAAATTTCAGAGGTAGATCCCTCAAAGAATATTTTTGTGATGCATTAATGTAGTATTTAAATGTAATATATAGAATTAAATCCATGTGTGCAGGAAAGTTAAAAATTAAATAATTACGCACTACCTTATTATGATTGTGAAAAATCTGGAGATGTGCATGTACTAAGGCATTTGGGTTATATTTGTTTATTATAGCATTACCGCACTTTCAAGCCTTGGCCATATGTTGGCCACACACTAGACACGGAATAAGCTCAATTAATGTAAAAATTAATTTTAAATTTATCCAAATCAAGCAACACAGTTCAATCCCTCTTCTACATTAGATTTTTAACAAATCAATCATCAAATTAATCCTAAAACAGTCTTGATGGCTCACAATTGGACTAAATATTCAATCAACCTGCAAAATATTGGGAGCCATCAAATTTTTAGCTAAAAACGAATTTTTTATAAAAATATATTCCTCTAATCTTATTTATAGAATTAAAAATAATATTTATTTTAATTATACTTATAAAACATCTTAATAATTATTATATTTATATTTATCATTTTGTCTTTGTTAAATATCGAGAAGCTTATTAAAATATAGAGTATTTTATTTCAAAGTAAGCATACTTAATAAAGATAAAATTAAAAAATGTTGAATTTTTAGATAAATTTAATAATATTTTAAAAAAAATTAATTACGGTAAAAATATTAGAAGTAATTTATAATTAAGATGAGAATAACTGGAGTCTCGGACACACTTAGTGATTTAACATTTTAAATATACATTATCGGTATAGCACATTTGTCGGTGAGCTAGAGCGACCCTCCATTGCTAACCTCTCATGTTGTGTGACTACTGCTCCTTTTTACAAAATTTATTTTATTTTTACGTTAAGAAAGCATAAAAGCTTGAATTCTGCTCACATGCCAACTCTCATTACTTAGTATGTGTTGGGTTTTTAGTTAATTAAAAGTTTATTTATTGAAAATTTATTTAGTAAAAGTTAATTATTATACTAAGATTTATGTTTTAATATATTTTTTAAAAAATCATTTTGATCAGTTGAAAGTTATTTTAATTATGATAGTAAAGTGTACTTTTGAATGCACAATAGCAAAAAAAAAAACATTGATTTATGATGATTTGTAATTTTTATTATACAAGTGTAATATATTTAAAATATTTAAAAAATTTTGATAAAGATTTTAAATAACATAAACTTTGATCTATAATACTAAAAACTTAATCTCTAATTACTTGTATTCTTTTAATTTTTAATTTTAAAAAATGTGATAAATATCTGTAATTTTTGTTATACATCAATATTAAAAATTAACATGATAATTATTCAATTTATAATGTTAAAAACTTAATATGGATAATTACATTTTTAATGAATTAACTATTTTTGAATAAAAGAATAAAAAATTAAACTTTATATAATACGATTAAATAGTATTTCACTTTCCAAATTCACTTTTTAAAAACCTCATCATTTTAAATTAGCTAAAAGCACATTCAATCATGTTTGAAAAGGATTTTTTAAAAGAAATTGAAAATCAAGCAACAATTGAATCTAAAATTTATTTAAAAAGTTCTTCTGATAAATTAAGTTGAAAACCAGACGGAGCTCTGGTTTATCACCCGAGACAGTAACAAACGGTGAAAAGCTTTTTTGGTCAAGAGTGTAAAGCTTTTTTTTTTTTTATTGTTTGGGTACAAGAAAAGCTTCTTTATGGTTCATCCATCGATGGATGTTAAACTCTCCTGAGAAGACGTGTTACAGTACATATAAATTGTAACGTCTTGGATGTTACTTTGTGAAACTTTTGGACGGTGTAAGGAAAAACACGCAGAATAGGTTTAGAGTCTAAAAGATCTCAGTAAATTGCTGTTGCTTAAGAATAAACTTGTCTGCACACCTACCATTAGTTTAATTCGTACGTGAAAATTCCCTGCTTTTGCTGGTTGATTTTGGCAAACACTTACGTCCCATCCCATTCAACAGTATTGAAGTGCCTTTCACAGATCATCTTTATGATTGGCATTGTCTTCCTGCCTAGTTGAAGTGTTGGAACAAATTCTCCCAAAATTCGCACCGAGGCATGGAATACTAATTACGCTGAAGAGACGCCGAGCCTGAGGCCCCCTGTATTCAGTAGTATTTCATTCAATCAATGCTATATATAGTCTACATGCTGCACACTAATTGGTGCGCGTAAATGGAGCAGTTCTCTTTGCCCGGTCTGTACGAACTAGGAGCATTCCTGGTTTCATCCCCGTCTTGTTGCAACTTTCTCCCTTCATCCCCATGTATAAAAAATCTTTTAAACTTTTTTACCCTTAAATATAAAAAATTATTAGCATATTTTTTAATAAATATTATTATATACTTATTAAATTAGAAAAAAATAAACACTCTCATTAGTTTATTTTAAAAAAAGAGATTCATTTTTTATTTACAATAATTAAGGACAAAATTAAAATGTTGTTATGTTTTAATTATATAACTAATTTTTGTTAGCTTGTAATTCAGTTAAAAATATCTTATATAAAAAGAGAGAGAAAGTAAGTTCTTGTTTGGCTGTACTGAAATTTTTTTTCGTGGGAAAAACAAATAGAATTGGATAAAAATATTACTGATTTTGTCACATATGATATTAGAAACAATTTTATTTTCTGCATTTAATTAAATAAAAAAACAATGAAATGTTCATTGGTCTTTTTTTTCTCCGAGGAAACGTTAATTTAATTGGTTTAATTTCTGCCGGGTATACAAATATAGTCGAGAAATACTTAAAAGAATTAAATGTGTCACATCATTTATAGTCTATTGAATTAAAATATTTTAAGTAATTTAAATAAATATTATATGATATTTTTTAATTAATTTTCTCTCTTTACTGTCCTTAACATCAGGATTAAATTATATTTAATATCATATAAATATAATATTTTTATTTCACAGACTATAAATAATGACACACCCAGTTTTTTTAAGAATTTTTTCAAATAATCACCAATTTTGGTACGTTTGTAGAGGGGACGCGATGAAAATGAAGCGGTGGAGAGAGAATTCAAGCTTTTACTCAGTCCGTCCTAATGTATGCAGCATTTTCTAAAAATTTATTTCATTTTTGAATATAAAAGATGTTATAATATTTTTAAATAACTAAATAATTTTGCTTTTATCTTAAAAAAAGATCAGATATGTTAATTGTATGCTTTACATATCATTATTATGATATTAATTGATATCATTGGAGATACAATTGAAAAATTATTGTGATTCAATGAGATTCCAACCAAATAATAAAATTTTATTGTTACACGTGATTCAATTAAAAATATTATTTATAAGTAATTTTTAATATTTTTATTAAAACTAAAAAAACCTCAAGCCCCATTGATTTTGGCTACCACTAATCTAATCAATATAGATTTAATATATATAACTTAATTTAATATTATTTTTTAATAATTATTACAAATTGATTATCAAGATGCATCCTGAATAATACAAATATAATTTAAAAGGTTTAATTTAATATT